GGTTTTTTGAGACAGGGTCTCTCTGTAGCTTTGGAGCCTGTCCTGGAACTAGCTCTTGTAGACCAGGCTGGCCTCGAACTCACAGAGATCCACCTGCCTCTGCCTCCCGAGTGCTGGGATTAAAGGCATGCGCCACCACTGCCCTGCGAAGCTAGGGATTTCTGCCTACTCTACAAGTCCCCTTACCAACTGAGCCACATGTAGTCCGTGTGTAAATGGCTTTTAGAGTATCTAGTTTTCTCCCAAGCTTTCAATCTTCTCTTTTTTGAGTATATGGAACAGTTTTCAAGTCTGTTTGGTAACTTCATAATTAAAATGTTCACATCTATTTTTGTTATAGACTGTTTTTCTTTTCTGTGGTTTATTTGCCTTCCTGGTTTCCTGATTATTTATCTGTCTGCTCTTTTGTCAGACATTCTAGAGTCCTTGTTGAGTATTCTTCTCCTCTGTAGGCAGTTGGAGCGGTAGAACCCACCCATGAATCCTAACTCCAGGTCAGGAGGTCAGATGTCTGGAAGTTGGAATTGAGCCTTTGAGTAGTGCCTGCTGCAGCTTTTCTCATTGCAAGACAGGGTACTGCACCCTCAGCCCTAATGACATTGTCCACTGTTGGCAAGCTGCTGTGGGGAGTGAGGGGTGGAGGGAGAGACCCTTAGGTGTTTTAGGAGTTAACAGAATCCCTGGCCTTAAACCAGATACTATGCGTCTACCCCATTCACATGCCAAGTGTGATAGCTCAAACATTTAGAGTTCTAAAAAACGCTCAAACATGGGTATCACTGCTGGCGCAGTCATCCACGGGAGAGCCCCTGCTGACAACTCAACAACTGAGTGTGTCTATGCAGGCCTGGAGCCAGTTTCTGTTCGGTCTCTACGAGGCCATCCAAAGGAATTGTAGTCATTTGAGTTGAGTTTCTAACTTAGGCACAGTAAAAGTACTTTGATACTTAGAATGTACCCTATGGCAGATACTTAATACAGCCCCAGCAATCCAGAAATTTCAGGTCTGTGACCTAGCTTGTTCCCTATTAGATGAAAATGTTACCTTTTTATCTGTTATCCTTTTATTGTTTACCTTTTCTCTAATGACAGCTAATTTACTGTGTCCCAGAGTCACAGAGACTTTAAACAAAAGGTTAAATGAGCTCAAGCTGTGGTCTTTTCCTAGGTCACCTACAATGGCTGGAGGATTGTTTGCAATGGACAGACAGTATTTCAGTGATCTTGGACAGTATGACAGTGGCATGGATATCTGGGGAGGAGAAAATCTGGAAATCTCATTTCGGGTAATTTTGATTTTGTGTGTGTTCGGTTATTAAATTGTCTGTAATAGAATATAATTGCATTTTGGGGCAAAGAGAACCTTCTGAGCAGGTAGGCCCCCACCACCACACTGGACCTGTCCCCCACAGCACAGTATTTTATACACACCTCCACAGTGCTTTAAAGGGCAGTTTTTCTCCAATTTTTTTTCAGGTTGAAAGTTTATATAGATATCATATAAACTTCAGTTTTTCTCTTGTTCTTTCATCTCAGCAAAAGTAAAAGAATCCCATAAATATTAAATGTATGTACACTCTCAGAGATGACATGGCATGTATATTTTCTAAAAATTTATCATTGTTTAATTTTATTCATTATTTTGTTTTATCCTTCATAATTTTTTTCTTTTTTATTAAGATTTTTCAATACAGTTTTTTTTCTCATTTTACATAGCTATCCCCATTCCTACTCCCAACCCCTCCTGCGTCCTCCAACTTTCTTCCACCCTACCTCCCCATTCATTCCTCAGAAAGGGTAAGGCTTCTTCCCACGGGGAATCAACAAAGTCTGACACTTCAGTTCGAGGCAAGACCAAAAAGAATACACTCCTAGATGTCAGTTGAAGCACTAGGGACAAATCCTGGTCCCATTGCCAGTGGCCCCACAGACGCCTAAGCCTCACAACCGTCCCCCACATTTAGTGGGCCTAGTTTGGTCCTATGCAGGTTCACCTGCTATTCGTTCAGAGTCAGTGAGTTCCCACTAGCTCAGGTCAGCTGTTTCTGTGGGCATCACCATTGTGGTCTTAGGTAACATGGTCCAGTGCTTCCCTGTAGATCTCTGTGTCTGCTTCCATCAGTTGCTGGATAAAGGTTCTATGATAACGATTAAGGTAGTCCTCAGTTTGATTACAGGGAAGGCCAGTTTAGGTGTCCTCTCCACTGTTTAAAGTCTTAGCTGGGGTCATCCTTGAGGATTCCTGGGAATTTCCCCAGAGCCATGTTTCTCGATAACCCTTTAATGGCTCCCTTAATCAAGGTATCTCTTTCCTTTCTCTCCCTTACTTTCCTTTCCCTTCTTGAGCATCCCATTCCCTCATGTTCTTCTCTTCCATCTCCTGTAATGTGTTGGTTATGCTCGCATCTCTAGTTCCTGTTCGTTTACCCAGATTTTCCACTTCAGAATTCTATGTTTTCTTTATTGCCTCTATTTCAGTTTTCAAGTCCCGAACTGTTTGAGCTGTTTGCTTTACCTGTTCGTTTTTTCTTGGGTTTCTTTAAGAGATTTCTTACTGATATTTTTCCAATTTTTTTTCTATTTTCTTCCATTTCTTTAAGGGAATTTTTCATTTCTTCTTTACGGGTCTTTATCTTCTTCATAAAGTTATATTGAAGATTGTTTTCTTCTGTTTCTTCTGGGTTAGGATGTTTAAATTCTTCCTGTTGTAGAACTACTGGGTTCTGGTGGTGCCGTATTGGTCTTTTTGTTGCTAGAGGTGTTCTTACACTGCTGTCTGCTCATCTTTTCCTTCAATGGGTGCCGATGGGACCTGTGCTTCAGGGGGTCCCTCTTCCTCCAGTTGGTAAAGGTGGGATCTGTGGCTTAGGTGGTTGCTGTTCCTCTGGGTGCATGTAGCACCGTGCCTCTAGTCTCTGGGGCTCCTCCAGGGGCAGTCTGGTCAAAAGCTCTAGTGGTCCCGGATGTGGTGGAGAATGGTAGTGGGTATGTGGAGGCTGCTGGGGAGGTTGTTTCTGGGGCTTGATCCAGCAGAAGGGCTTTTAGGGTGCTTGCTGATGGTCACCCATAAGTTGTTTGCTTGGCCTATGATAGGACAGAGTGGGGGAAACTAAACTGGATGCTGGGAGAAAGAAGGCGGAGTCAGGGAGAAGCCATGTAGCCCTCCAGAGACAGATACCAGACAAAACTTTGCCGATAAGCCACAGCCATGTGGCAGTACACAGATTAAAAGAAATGGGTTAAATTAAGATGTAAGAGCTAGCCAATAAGAAGCTGGAGCTAATAAGCCAAGCAGTGATTTAATTAATACAGTTTCTATGCGGTTATTTCGAGTCTGAGCAGCCAGGAACAGTCAGTCTCCCTACTACACTAGTGAGCTCTGGGTTTGATTGAGACCCTGCCTCAGAATGATAAAGTAGAAGAGTGATAGAGGGCCTCACACCCCTTCAAAAGACAGATTATTTATTAGTTATGTATATGGATGTTTTGTTTGCATGTACATCTAGACACCAGAAGAGGGCATCAGATCCCTCTATAGATGTGAACCACCATGATGCTGGGAATTGAGCAGGAGACCTGGAAAAGTACCCAGTGCTCTTAACCACTGAGCCATCTCAAGCCATCTCTCTAGCCCCAAGATTCCCAATATTAACTTTAGGCTTCAGTGTTCATTCTCCTGCATGTGTGCTGCACATGCAGGACCACCATGCAGACGTCTAAGAAAAACAAGTTGTTTACTTTCTTTTATACACTGTTTCTAAGAACATTGGCTGGGTACACACCTTAAATCCCAGCTCTTGGGAGGCAGAGGCAGGCAGATCTCTTGGAGTTCAAGAGATCTACAAGAGCTAGTTCCAGGACAGGCAAGAAAGAAAGTACGTGAAAAACAGAAGACTAGCTAATAAGCATTTCTGTCCTAAATCCTTAAGATCAACAAAGGATGATAACACAATTCAGACACACGGGAATAGATGAATGTTTCAGAATTTGCTGCCTTTTTCATTTTAGGAAGACCTAATTTTTAAATGCCCCTACTTTCTTCTGAGTCCATCTTGTTGCATAGCCACCATTCATAGAATGCGTGTGCTGCTTCAGTCTGAACTGACAGTCCATTTGCTTCTGGCTAGATCTGGATGTGTGGTGGGAAGCTCTTCATCATCCCTTGCTCAAGAGTAGGACACATTTTCCGAAAAAGGCGGCCATATGGATCTCCCGAAGGCCAGGACACCATGACGCACAACTCCCTGAGGCTGGCACATGTCTGGTTGGATGAGTACAAGGTGAGTGTCTGCCTTTTTCCACTCATGCATGGTTCTCCTCAGCTGATCCTCATTGCTGTGCCATTTCTCTCTGGGCTGCTTTTTACCCAGGATTCACTCAGTTTTGATTCTCAACTGACTTTTTTGAGTGTGACCCTGTAAGCACCGGAAGCAGCTCTGTTTTAGAGTGCTGATCCTTCTGGGCCCTTCAGGGTTAAGGACTCCAGAACTGGGCTGTGCTTTCTCACCCACTGGGCTACACTGCTCACTCAGGATTCCTGTTGCATTTCTTTCCTACCTTATACAGCTTTGTTTTCTTTGTAGCCCCTCTATCAAGTATAATATGTGTGTCCATTTTAAAGCATTTTGTTACAACAAAAAGAAATACTGTATCCTTCATGTGTCACCTCTCTATCCATAGCCCTAGAGAACCACATCAGTCTCTTGGCTCCACAGTCTCTTCTAGACCTCTTGCACACGTGTGCCCATGGCCTTCACTTGGTATCTGTGTTTAGGCTGGTCTCAGCACTCCAGTAATTCTCATTGTTCAGGGACACTTTGTCAGTGTGGTCATTCCCTGTTGTTCACATGTTAACTGCTATTAAAACGCTGCTGTGATTAGTGGTGTGCAGTTGCTACTGTCATTGGAACGGGTTGGTCTGATACTCCATCCTTGTGTCTTCATGTTCTGGATTACAGGTGTGTATGCACTAGCATGTCTGGCTAAGTACAAACAGGATGACTAAAGGGAATATAGAGTGATCTGCAACCCTGTGAGGTGAATGTAAATAGCAGCAGATACCCAGACTGGAGTGCTGAGGAGGGAGTGGGGAGCAGAGACGGGGGCTAAGGATGCCAAGCTTCTGTTTGTCTCCTTCCCTCTCCTAATGCAGCTTTGTGGGGCTCAGCTTGTTGTGAATTGTTATCATCTCTGTGTGACAGAGATCCTCACAATGTGGCTTGTTGACCTCTAGATTCTGCCCACCCACTCATTTCCACAGTCAGATAAATACAGACACTTACTGTGTTTGCTGTGTAGACATTGCATGTCTGAGCAAGGAAGCAGCAGCTGCTTTCCTGTTGAATGCAGTTGAAGAACCTTGTGAACGCTCCCTGTGGAGTACAGTGCCTTGAGCTGAGGGCCGAGCTTCACTGTTCTCCAGAAGCACTTGCCTGTGACTCTGGGCATCTTTTTAAAGTGAGCCAAGGTTTGTCAGAGATAAAATTCAACTCTTTTAATGGCAGGGCTTGGTAGCCCATGCCTTTAACTCGGCAGAGGTAGCTGGTGTTTGGTTCAAGGCCAGTCTTGTGAGTTCTAGGCCAGCCAGGGATACACAGTAGATTCTGTCTCAAAAACAAAACAAAACACCCCCATCATTATGAGCTTGAAAGTGTCCCACTATGTAACTGTCCTGATGAAATCATAAATTACTTCACTGTGTAGTGAACTGTGTCAGTTTTTGGAAGAACTGTACAGGCACAGACCAGTGTTTTTCACATAAGTAGTACATGTTACAAAAGTCTTGTATGTGTAAAGAGATCCTTCAAAGAGGAAGCAAGACCAAATGTGAATCTCTCTGGTATGATTTCTTATTTTATATTATAATTAAAATGTCATTGTTGTAAGCTAGGCATGCTGCTGTGTAGTGGTCACAGGAATGTTAGAGGTTAATTCTGGACTGCATGTTTGCACTATCTAGAAACTACATAATAACTTTATTATATTAACTTTAACATAAGAATAACTAATAGTTTAAAAATATTTCTTCTATTTCAACTACATTTTTCATGTGGTTGCACTTTTCAAACAGTGAAATGGCTCAGTGGGTAAATATGTTTGTCACACAAATACGACAGCCAGCTTGATTCCAGAACCCTACCTAAAGGGCATGCACCCTCCATCAGAGTAAGCTTGCAAGCAACACACAGAGTCAGGGGAATGTATATTTGCGACAGGTAAAGTGAGTTTCTAGATGAGGCGGTGGTGTATGCTTTTAACTCCAGCACTCAGGAGGCCAAGACAGGTGGTCATTTGTGAGTTCAAGGCCAGCCAGGTCTACAAAGCGAGTTCAGGACAACCAGAGCTACACAGAGAAACCCTGTCTTTAAAAAAAAAAAGAAGTTTCTGCTAATGAATTAAAAAAATTAAGTGTTGGGTTTTTTTTGTTTGTTTGTTTTTGTTAGTGGTACTGTTTTTTTTTTTTTTTTTTTTTTACATAGTCTTACCATGTAGTCTTGACTGACTGGAGCTGCTACATAGACCAAGCTAGTTTTGCACTTACAGAGATCTGCCTACTTCTGCCTCTCTAGTGCTGAGATTAAAGGTGCATGTTTTAATTTTTTTTTTTTTTTTTTTTTTTTT